AAACACTATAAACCACAGGTCCAGCATCTTAAAGACAAGGAAAGCAATTATACTGAGCTCTTCTTATCTATCACATGCCTTTCTGTGACCAGGCCTAAGGTCAGGATCCCATTGTGGGGCAAACCATAAGGACTCATGACCACACAAACTGCAGCTGGGAAGGGGGTACATCCATTTCCAGGGGCAGATGGAGCAGACCACAAAAAACTACCGGCTTTTTGCTTGCACTTAGTGCTGAGACACGTTTTGCAGACAACCCACTCTGAGTAAACTCACACAAAAGATTCTACTTACAGAATCTCATGTTAAAATGTAATATTTTAAAGAGATTAGGAAGGTGCCAAGTTGAGCACTGAGCCAAGGTGCAGAACAGCACTATGCCCACAGAGAGGAGAAAACAGAAGTGAACCAACAAGTGGAAGATTTTAAACACGTGCAGTGGAAGAAGTGAACAGTAATATCCACATCCTCAAATCAAATCAGCAATTTTTCTTCTAATTCCAGTTTGCAACACTTTAAAGTGTGTGTCTACCTACAGCATCAGTTTTCCACCCTGCACTTCAGAAAGGACAAGAGAGGCACATAAAGTAAGGAAATTATTTTGCTGAATAGCCTATTGTTGAAGGAGACTAAGAACTTTTGTACAACAGCAGCAACCCTCACATTACTGAGTCACTTCCTCTATCGTGGTTTGGTTTCTGGATTTTGGAAAAGTACTTCTAACAATTCTAGGTGTTCAAGAAACATCCTCTGCATACAGAAAAGGAACAAGATGGAAGTAAGCTAATACAGAACTCACTGCCCCTGGTATGGTAAGACTGAACAGTGTCACTTCCTTCAAATGCTGCTGTACTGAAATCCTTTTTTGCTTTTTATAGACATGAAAAGAGGTCCACAGTGAGATTTTCACATCTACAAATAGGATTACTTTTAATAACACTAACAAAAAATCTATTTTGAAATGAGATATTAATTTAAAAGTATTATTTCCTACAGAAGGGAAGAGAGGGTTTGCCTATCAGCAGTATTGTGATTATCCTTTCCATAGGAAGTTCTAGATGTTAGACTGGCTGTAGCTAGAAATAACTAGATGGAACAAACTATTAAACACCTCTGACAGAATAGAGCAAACAAATCTATCAACGGGAAAAATCCTTAATTAGAGATGATTTTCAAAGTGAAAATTATTGAAAGCGCCATGGCGAGTAGGTAAGAGGGTCAGTTGGCAAGTTCTTGCCAGATTTATACACATTCAGGACTGCCATATCATCAGCATTCCTCTTTCCAGTCAACAGGATCATCCAAGGCTCAGGAGTGTAGAGCATTGACAGGAAAGCTGCAGATCTGAAATGCTATGAGAATGTCACGTTTAGTACATCACCAGAGCCTGAACTAACCTTTGAAGTTCAGGTCCATCATGGCTGAGCAAGGCCACCCCTAAATCCAGATTTATTTTTATTCTCTTCATGGAAGAGGCAGGAAAAAAACAAACAAGCTTTGTGGATAAAATGCAATGTTACAAGTCTCCTTTAGGAGGAAGGCAACCCATTGATTTTACTTTCAATGCGATGCTTCCTTGCCAAGAGACCATGTTTACTGAATGAGAAAGTGAGACACGAAGTACTTGTGATGCAAAGGACAAAGGGAACTTGCCTGATCTGCTCATCACCTGTAGGAAACCCCACAGACCAGTGCTGACTGGATCCGTGCAGCCTTTAACACGGCACAGCATTTCCAAACCAGCTAAAAGCAGCTTTTTTAGGCGGGGGCAGTGTTTACTGTCAACAGGGACAGGCTGTCCTGCCCCGGGAGGAGGTGTCTGCAGTCAGACTTACTGCAGGGCTGTAAGTTTCCATTTCAAGCCAAGGCCAGGCTGCCCCACTCTGCTTAGACGTGAAAAAGGCATTCAAGAACACCACACATCCCACCCAAAGGCTGAGGTACAGCCAAGTGGATGTAGGACAGCTACAAGCAAAAGAGAGATGGAAAGTCCTTAGAGAATCATAGAAGGGAGGTTGGAAGAGACCTTTGAGATCACTCAGCCCAACCATGAACCCAGGACTACCCCTGCAGCCCCTAAACCACTAAACCATTAAAATGTGTCACCCAGATGCCTCTTGAGCACTTTCAGGGATGGTGACTCCACCACCTCCCCGGGAAACCTATTCCAATGCCTGACTACCCTAAAAACGAATTTTTTTTCCTTCTAATATCTTCTGAATCTCCCCTGTCTCAGCTTAAGGCCATTTCCTCCAGTCCTCTCAGGGCAGAAGAGATCGGCCCCGGCCTCTAAACATCTACCGCAGCATCTAAAAAGCCGGCACTTGTCTAGGGCCGTGTGTTTATGTGCCTTGAAGTGCAGCTAAACCCCGCAGACAGCAAACAGCCTGCTCGTGAACCCTTTCCTTATAACCTGGCACAAAACGTCGCCAAAACGCTTCACGGAATAAACCAGTTTGTTCAGAGACTTCTCCTCCCCTTCCTCCTTTCCCAGAGGAGCGCCCGGCTCCCCCTCGCAGAGCAGGACACACGATTTCACACCCCCAAAGCCCGAACCAGCCGCCGCCGCGGGGGCCGGGGCCGCTCCTGCTCGCGCTCCCCACGGCTGAGGCCCCGCGGGCCTACCTGCTTCTGCACGTCGGCATCGCTGAGCGCCATGGCGGCGGTGTCTGCGGCGGTGGCGGTGACAGTGGCGGTGACAGTGACGGTGGCGGTGACAGTGACGGTGGCGGTGACAGTGGCGGTGTCCGAGGACGCGCCCGGTGCCGTCGGTGCCCGGAGCGGAATCACATCCGGGTCGGGTCAGGCGGCCGCGAGCCCCGCCCACCCCCCTCCCGCGGGCCAATGGCGACCCGCGCACCGCGTGACGTCACGCCGCCGTGCGTGGCGGGGCGGGGCCCGCCGGGGCCGCTCCCGGGTGGGCTCTGGAATGGTTTGGAATGGCTTGGAACGGCTCGGAGTGGCTCCACGGAAGGAGGCTCCGCGCCCTCCCCCGGCAGCCTGTGCCAGGGCTCTGCCGCCCGCAACGTAAAGAGGTTCTTCCTCGTGTTGAGGTGGAAGCTTCCTGTGTTTAAGTTTGCGGACACTGCTCCCCCAGCCCTGTCGCTGGGCACCACGGAAAAGGGCCTGGCACCATCCTCTTGGCACCCACCCTGAGGATAGTTACGTGCACTGATGAGATCCCCTGTCAGCCTTCTCTTCTCCAGACTAAACATGCGCGACTCCTGCAGTCTTTCCTCAATAAGAGAGATGCTTCAGACCCCTCATCACCCTTTCCAGC